TTTTTTTTTCGAATTATCTAGCAAAATTAATACTTATATTTGTTTTTTTTATTTATCTATAAATGACAAATATTTGTAGTTCCTTTTTGTATATAATTGATATTTTATTGATTCTGCACAATGAATAAAAATATAGGAATATATGATTATAGTGATAGAAAAACAAATCTTCAAATGATATTTGCAAAGATTTTCAATCATTAAATATATTTATCAAATATTTCTAGTTCATCTTTTATATGAGCAATTATTTTTCACACAAAGATTTAATAGATATGGTAATTCTCGCATATACATATGGTTTAATGAAAAATTGAATAATATAAAAATGGGTTATTTGTTCCTATTCTTAAGACTCAATTATCAACTTGAATAAAAGATACATACATATATATATGTGTATGTATATAAATTATGCACACATTAATTCAAAAAGGATTGAAGAAAAAAGGTTCTATATAAGGTTTTGTCATATTAGTTTTTTCGAGAAAATACATCGATTCGATCGGTCATAGCAACAAATATATTGCCATTGTTATTCGTTGCTAATGATTCTGGATATTCTATACCACCTGTAATTACTTCTTGAAATTCACCATCTTCATCAAAAAGTACCAAACGATCATTATGAGAATCAGCAATAAGTAATTGATGTGTATTAGGTAATGCTGTTAAACCACGAGGACTTGAAAGAGGATGAGGAAAAACCGATGTTGTTTCACTACCAAAACGTTTTACATATATTCCATCAAGTGTAAATTTATGAACACATGAACCTAATTGTTTTCAAAAAGAAATAAAATAGAATTCATTCAGACAAGAACAAAATCAACCTTGTGGATCTGTAATATAAATATGACCATTTGTTGCTGTACAATATGCAAGTGAACTAAATAAATTTTTGTCTCCAAAAAATCGTACAAGATTTGCACTTTTTGGATCATAGACTTTGATTTGTCGATTAGCTTGATCACACACATAAATTAAATCGTGTTCATCAACGCAAATACCTTGATAATTGGTTAAACCAGCTTGAATATCATCACAAGCAATTGTACGTGTCAAACGAAGATCATTACTCAATATTAATACTTGTAATTCATCACTCATTAACACCTGATCATTACTCATAACAGCTAAGCCATTTTTTGTTCCATAATGACTTATAATTTTAGCCAATTTATTATCATCTGTAAATGCAACAACACGTTCATTCTTTGAATCAGCAATAAACAATAATGAATCCGATGGTCGATAAGCAATACCACGTGGTTGATTTAAAAATGATTTTCCATATTCAAGTGAACCAAGTGATTTAACTAGTAAGAATGGTATTTGAGATGTATTGGCCATCTATAAATGAAACCTAAGTATAGAAATGATAATGTATTATCTTATTTCTTTTTCGTTTCTTTTCTTTTCTTGTCTCTAAACAAGGAAGTTATCTAAGATCCTCTATATATCTGTTATACTAGAACTAAACAATGTCAGACGAGGTCAAAACTTTTTTGTGCTAATAACTAGTTCGAGTAGTACATAAAAAGAGACCTTCGAAATATTATAATTAATCCCATATACATGACAACTGAAATTAACTATTCTTTATCATTATACCTTTGTAAAAAAAAAAGGATATATTATATATATTCTATAAGCCAAAGATTAATAATAATAGTTGATTGACACAATTCAAATAGTTGTAATTGTATATTTGCAGTCTTGTACTTTAAGAAAATCAGCAGTTATACGTTAAAGCAAAGAAGAAACTAGAGACGAAATGTTGTTGATGTTGTCGTTGTGACAATGCTATAGAACTGGATAAGAGAATAATGTCTATCTCGCTATAATATTGTTTTTCTATCCTTCAGTTACCCTGCTAGTAGGCGTATGGCATACGTCATTATACAAACAAGAAACTTTATAAAGAACAGCTTATAATACATGCATGTTAGTTGTTATATCCGTTGGTTGCCCTTGAGGAAAAAAAACGTTTTTCTCGTTTGATACCCTAGATTTAGCATACGTACAACAATGCTACCGAATAATGCAAAAAATAATTAAGCTTGATCTGATTTAGTAATTCAATTCCTTTACAGTTCAGAATAATGTTATAATCAATATATATCTTGTATACAAGCAAAAAATCGTTAATAGAAAGACAAAGATTACATTGAGACATGTTTACTATTATTATCCGTATGTCTATCTTAGTCAGGCATATAACATTTGATGTCGTTAATTCTGATGAATATAAGAACAAACCGAGTAAATAAAAGAAACTATAGTCATAAGATGCTGGTGTCAGAATAAAAGAGAGATAAGCATAAGGCGAACATTTTCCGAACGCTAATAACTAGCAATCTGTAATTTATCAATCGTCAGAAAAAGCGTCCACGAACGTCTATTTTTTATGATAACGAGTAGAACAACATAGTTTCCGTAGCACATTTCAAAAAATAATTTTGCTCGATCAAGGTGATCTTCATATATCATCCAAATAATTATTATTCGATATTTTATTCTACAGTAAATAAAATTATGCTTGTGTTTAATCAAATAACATATATTTTCATCGTTGTCATATTTATCTAAATATTATTACAACACCATGCTACTGTTCTACTTCTTTTCTGAGTTTTTGTCAGGAAGATATATGTCTCATATTTCATCATAGAAAATAACTCCTGCATATTTCTTTTTTTTTTCGATTTGATAGAAAACCTTGATCATAAGTTATAATCATTGACAAATTATTTCAAAGTCACCATTATTTGTATAGAAATCGATTAGAAGAATTTCGTCATCGTTTTTTTTTTAAATTTTATTTCAAACTTTTTCATTATAATTGTCACTGTGCGAATCGACGACGTAAAAGAACATCAAAATGTGGACAAGAAGCAAAGGAAAGGAACGCCACTGACAAATAACAAAAAATTATTAGTAAATAAGAGATTATTTTATGTATGGACGTATTGAGACTACAAATTCAGATCATTCTGAGTTATTATAAGCATCATCACAAAAAAAAATCAAACTAAAAGATTCATTCATATAAGAAGAAAGCAAAACAACGAAAAGTGAGATTCATGGAATGTAAAAAGAAAAGCTACAATGTGATTATTCTCAGATTAAAAAGAAGAAAAAAAATGCTTTATCAGTTCGTGATATCATGTAAAGAGCAAATTTGTTAAATACTTTCACCACCATAACAACCAACATATATATGAAATTTGGTGTTTTGTTTTTAATAAGTTGGTTGTGGACGAGTAGGTGGTGGTGGTGGTGGATTTACTCCATATTGTTGTTCGCGTTGACCTTGAGAACCACCAGATCTATACGCACGAAATTGAAGAACTGCCTCAGCTACATATGTAATAAAAGCTGCAAAGCCAAAAAACTATAACAAACAAAACGTTTATTCTCATATAAGCTTCTTATAAGTAATTATTTTACCGCTGCAGCGCCAAATCTTCCATCATATTTTCCGACTGTAGCTATAACAATACTTGCAATAAAATAGAAAAGCGAAATAAATGCACACCAACAGAATTCCTATATTAACTTATTTTAAATATTTTCAAGAATTTTATTAACAACTTACAATTATTGGCCAACGACCTGTCAGAAAAACATTGTGTATATTTAATAAACCCAAAACTAAGAGCACTGTTGTTATAATAAGTGCTACTATAGAAACAAATAAAAAGAAGCCTCGTTGTCCTGTAGTAACGCTATCAACTGCAGGTCCTGCACCAGCCAAAGCAGTTCCAAGTAGATCACAAAACTAAATATTAAAATAAATATTATCTTTTTTTTATTTTAAAACATAAATATATTTACAAGTTCAATTATTTTAAGAATACCAGGAATTGATCGAATATAATCGACTCGACATGTGACTCCTTTTGATTCGTAATCCATACTAGATATATTTTAGTTTAAATGCACAAATCTACAAATATAGACAAATATATTATTTCATTTGAAAATAACAACAGAACAAAAATGAAAACTATTGATTGAAAAAGGTCAACTGTATAACATTCATTCCACCCTTCGTTTCCTTCCGTCAAAAGTCAATAGGGCAATAAAGTTTAGTATGTGTCCTTTTTCATAAATGAACGTTAACGAAGGAGTAACGAAAGAGAAGAAAAAAAAAGAAAAAAGAAACGGGGCTAATGGCACGACCTCTCGATAAAATAACTAGTGACCACAAATATACCCAACGAATGAACAAAGGCTGACCGAGCTTGTCAATAGAGAATGTCGTCACGTTATCTTGGACAAATAGAACTAATAATGAATAGTCCCGTTTATTTACACAAAAAGAAAAACAATGGATTGATTTTGTAAGAAAAGAAAAAATACTGAAATGTATTCACCGGTACTTTTTTTACTTAATAATATTTTCAAAACTTTTAATTTTATTTGTGCAAAGAAAAACATCTCTGTCTAATATATATAAGAAAAAAAGAAGGAAAGTTATTTAAATTTTAATAAATAATTTTTTTTCTCTAAAGGACAGAACAAATAAATACATCGGCCGATAAAAATGAATCATTTCTAGGAAAAATTCTATTGGTTTACATAAACCAGTGAGGTTTTATTATTCTACCATAGTGTCCAATTCTTTGCCTCTATTGTTAACATTATTTCATGCTTTTTGTGTTATTGTTGTTGTTATTTTTCTTCCTTTTTCTGCTTGATGATCTCATCATTATTTTCTACCATGTTTCCTCTTCCGTATAGAAGAAAATTAACTATTTTAGACAAGCATTTTCGTTTGTCTTTTGTTTATTTAACGGATCACTGTATGTTGACAAGGACAAAATATTCCCGTAAATGCGTAGCGACGGACGGACAAACGAATAGTATTAGTCGGTCCGTCTTATTGAGAAAGAAAAGAAGAAAAAAAAAAGAAAGAAACTTTTACTGTATTTATATATTCATCATAACTACGAATTTCTTGTGCATTAACATATGCGGCAGCTATCGTCGCCATTTATATTATTCCATTGCGCATGACAAATTCGATCAGCTGATTTATTTATATCTGCTGACTCATTGCGTGTTATTGATAATGTGTATGATCGAGAAAGAAATAGAACAAAAATGTTGACATAAAATGAAATAGATTTTTCTTTTAGCATTATATCGAATATTAATAACGTTTTTTTTAAACTTCTTCGATCTCTAATCGATTGATTAATTGATCGATGGCCGAACCGACAATTGTTCTCCGAAGTCCTATTAAATCAACAACACCATCCCTTCGATGTTCATCACCAAATTCATCTTTAAATTCACCTACACATAATAGTACTGTTATTATTCTCAAAGATAATAATAATAATGATCAAGAACAAACGCAATCTTTATCTACAGTTAAAAATTCAGCAAATAATTCATCTTCATTTTCAACGTATATAATATTTTATTTTTAAAAATAAAATATTTATTTCTTTTTTTTTCATTTTTTAAGCCTTAAAACTGTTCAAACTAACCTTTATTCTGCCGGTCACACAGGTTTATATAATTTGGGTAATACATGTTATGTTAATTGTGTACTTCAATTACTCAGGTTTGATATCGAAATGTTCAATATATCTGATTTTAATTAAAAAAATTTCTTTAGCCATGTCCCACAATTCTGTGATGCTATTTGTTCGATGAGTTTTGAAAGCCTCGGTTTAGAACAACCGTCAGATGTACCAATGGTATGTATTTTATTTGATAAAAAATTTTGAATTAATATTATTTTATAGGTTGCTTCATCTCATAATCCAAACCGCTTGAAAGGTGGTGGTCGCGGTTTATTAAAAGCACTCGAAGCTCAACCACGTCGAGTACCATGGTATTAAACTTTTTCTTTTGTTCTAATTAAATTCATTTTCTTTTTAAAGTTATCTCGCATATGAATTACATGGAACATTTAATATAATCTGGTCGGGTAAATGTATGGTTTATTCGCCATTGAATATGATCGCTGCTATTCGACGTTTATTACCTACTTTTGAACCATGTGCAATGGAAGATGCACAAGAATTTCTTGAGTAAGTTATAAAAGAAATTTTTTCTTACTAATAAAATTATATTTTATTTCTATAGAGCATTATTAGCTGCTGTTACAGATGAAATAAAAGCAAATAAATTAGCTAATACTAATATTATTAATGATCTATTAGGTTTCTCCTCTGAAAGTCAGGTTAGTTAGAAAAATTTGTTATTTAATTCTTTATTATTATTATTATTATTTTATTTTATATTAGATATTATGTGAACAATGCCATCGTTTATCAGTCACAAAAACAGATGAAACATTTATCACATTAACATTCTCAGAGAAGATGCTTTGTGATGTACGGGGATCTAGTCGTCGACGTTCGTGTCATCTTACAGGTTTGTTAAAAATTCATATATTAAAATAAATTCTAAAGAAAAATATATTTATATTAGATATGCTTGCTCATTTTTATCAATGGGAAGCATTATCAACCCCATTTCAATGTTCGAATTGTACCGGTAAAGATTGTTTTATTTTTGTTATGTACATATTCAATATTTATTTAATTTTATTTAGTTCGAAGCTCATCTAAAGAAGGTACAAAAGCACAAAAACGTTTATTAATATCTAAACTTCCTCAAGTATTACATGTTGTCTTACGACGATTCAGATCATTACCACAAACACCCGTACGACGATCAACATCTCGTCAAGCACGTCAGTTATCACATAAAATAACATTACATGTGAATTTTGATGAATATCTTAATATGGCCCCGTATTGTGCACCATCAACAACAGCAACTTCGTTTCCACTAACACGTTCAAAACAATATGAAAATTCTACAAGTGAATGTTTATATCGTTTACGTGGAGTCATTGTACATTATGGTAAAAGTATCAATACGGGACATTTCGTTGCTTTTGTTTATAATGATGTTCTTGGTAAAAAGAATTTTTTTTTCTATTTATTTAAAATAAAATTATTTAAATCAATAGGTGAATGGCTACGTTGTGATGATCATATTATTGAACAGACAACTTTTGAATCTGTTAAAACATCTGATGCTTACATACTTGTATATAGTCGTTGCACACCATTTTCAATTGCATCTTCTATTCTAACGAATCCATCAGGTGAAAAAACAAAGAAATAAAATATT